TTTTTTTTTTTTTTTTTCTGGGCCAGCTTTAGCTCTGAGGCCTCGCTGCTGAAAACATCGATACAATGTTGCGGTCCGAGCCCGGCTGAATGGAAGCCCTTTTCTGGGGTTTTGTTTAGCTTCTTATTTGCAACATAGTATATAGTTGCTTAGACTTGCAGATGAGAGGCTGGCAAGTGAGGCGGGGAACGTTGGAGTCTGCAGCAAGCAAGCCTCGTGCTCGCTTCAGTGCCTGGCTGCCGGCCGCCATCTTGGCTGACAGTTAATTTGCATATACTCACTGATTAGCCAATGAAAAGGGTAGCGGTCGTACGCCAATTACCATGTTTCTCTTTTATTAGTATAGATATATCTTTATGTATTCTTGATACGAGTCCCTTATCTGATACATGATTTACAAATATTTTCTGCCATTCTGTGAGTTATCTTTGTACTTCCTTGATGGTGTCCTTTGAAGAACAAAAGATTTTACTTTTGATGTTTGATCTATTTTTTCTTTTGCCATTCATGCTTTTGGTGCCATATCTAAGAGTTCTTAGCCAAATACAAGGTCTTGAAGATTTACCACATATATTTAGAATAAAAAAGTCAAATACTGAAGGGTCCCAGGTTTGATTCTGGTCAAGGGCACATCCCCAGTGGGGAGTGTGCAGGAGGCAGCTGATCGATGTTTCTCTCATCGACGTTTCTAACTTTCTATCCCTCTCCCTTCCTCTCTGTTAAAAAAATCAATAAAATATATTTTTTAAAAAAGTCAAATAATGACAAATGTTGGCAAAGACATGGAGAAATTGGAATCCTCAGGTACTGTTAGTGGGGATTTATAGTGGTGCAGTCACTTTGGAAAACAGTCAGGTAATTCTCAACTTACTGAACAAGAGTTTCCATATGACCCATAAAGCACACTGCCAACTATTTACCCAAGAGAAATGAAAAATGTCTACACAAAAATATGTACCCAAATAATGCAACATTATGTCTATTAGGAAAAAATGGTATCACGCGTTCATGAATTAATGAATAGATAACAAAAAGTAGCATCAATAATAATAAAAGCATAATATGCTAATTAGACTGGACGTCCTTCCTTCCCCACAAAGCTGCAGCAGGTGGGGGCTGCGGCAGAGGCAGCAGAGGCCCCTGGCTGCAACCATGGAAGGGGGTGGCCGGGGCCAAGGCCCTTGCACAAATTTTATGCATTGGGCCTCTAATATCAATATAATGGCATGTTTTGACTAAAAAAGGAATGAAGTCATGATATATGCTACAACATGGATGAACCTTAAAAAGTTTATGCTAAGGCCCTAGCCAGCTTGGCTCAGTAGATAGAGCATCAGCCTGCAGACTGAAGGGTCCCAGGTTCGATTCCGGACAAGGGCACATGCCTGGGTTGTGGGCTCAATCCCCAGTAGGGGGTGTGCAGGAGGCAGCCGATCAATGATTCTCTCTCATCATTGATGTTTCTATTTCTCTCTCTCCTTCTCCCTTCCTCTCTGAAATCAATAAAGAAATATAAAATAAAAGTTTATGCTAAGTAAAATAATCTAGTTAGATAAGAACACATACTATATAGTTTAATTCATAGTAAATTTCCAGAATATAAAATTCTATATAGACAGTAGATTAGAGGTTGCTTAGGGCCGGGAAGTGGGGTGGGAAGACAGGCGGATGATAGCTAATGGTTATGTGTGTTTTTAAGTTAGTGAACAATTGGGTTAGGTGATGGTTGCTCGTGTCTGTAAATATACTAAAATGATTGAGTCATATACTTTATACAGGTGAATTTTATGACAGTTTAATTATATCTCATTACAATAGCACCCTTCATCTGTTTTGCTTTCTGAAGTTTTAGTTACCTGCAATCAACCAAAAGGTCTGAACATATTAAATGGAAACTTTCAGAAATAAGCGACACATAAGTTTCAAATTATGCCCTGTTCTGAGTCACATGGTGGAATCTCATACCTACCAGCTCTGTCCATCCTGGAATCATCCCTTTGCTCAGTGTACCCATGCTGTATAGGCCTCACTCACATTAGTCAGACGGTAGTCTTTGCAGTTATCACATCTACTGTCTGGAATCACAGTGTTGTGTTCAAGTAACACTTATTTTACTTCATAATGGCTACAAAGCACAGGGGTAGTGATTCTGGCAACTCGGACATGCCGAAGAGAAGCCTTAAAGTCCTTCCTTTAAGTGAAAAGGTATAAGTTCTCAATTTAATAAGTAAAGAAAAAAAATTGCATGCAAAGGTTGCTGAGATGTACAGTAAGAACAAAATCTATCTATGAAATTGTGAAGAAGGAAAAAACAATTATGCTAGCTTTGCTCTTGTACCTCAAACTGCAAAAGTTATGGTTACACTGTGTGTTAAATGCTTAGTTAACATGGAAAAGGCATCTAATTTATGAGTGGGAGACATGACAAAAATATATGATTTTATGCACTCTGTGGTTTCAAACATCCAGGGTGGGACTTAGAACATAATTCCTAGAGATAGTGTTGTTAAAAACAAAAACAAACAAGCAAAAAAACCTTTAATTTGACTATATTAGAGCAAATAATGGCTACATATTCCCCTTCACAAAGGCCCATAAGAGCACTCAGGAGGAAGATGGATGGTGTTCCCTGCATGTCTAGACATAAGGTCAAAGAGGGAAGTTAGATTCTTTGAGGAAGAGGAAAGAGAAAATTTACTCAGAATGGAAATGCGTCAGAAAGTAGGACTGTGAATGGAACTTTATGTGTTATGATGCCAACAGCCTCCTATAACAGTGTAGTGTACAATTTTTGTTCAGGAGTATGTTTTGTCAGAGGGAAGATGAGCTTTAAGAGATGACATGGAAATGAGTGATAACTTGTTGATGTAGATTGTTTTTAGTTTAGAATAGAACAGAACATGTTATTAAGAGTGTTTTTTGTATTCCTGAATTTTTTAATGTGTCTTTATGAGATGATGAATGCCAACTACACTTATTTCAGTAATTACTTCATAATATACTAGTATGTAAGTCAAACCATTTGCTCTGCTACACCTTAAACTTATACCATAATGTATGTCAATTATATCTCAGTAAATATTAGAAAAAAACAAATACTTGAGGAAATCCTAACAAACTTTAATTTGTCATTCTGAGGTATCGGCATGAAAGGGGTTGTCAGGTTGAAAAGTGAAGTTTTCATCGACAACCAAGACATTTTTTCCGTGAACAACTTGGTCGAGAACCGAATTTTTCGAGATGGGAGACTTTCCAGAACCCAGGTTTGACTGTATTAGGACGTGCTGTACCAAGAAAGTGAATGATTGAGTGACTCAACAATATTGAGGCTGCTGTTTCTACAGTTCTTTTCCTCATATTTGCCACTGCCTGGAAGCCTAGAAGCCACTTTAGATCCAGGCGTTAGGTCTATCTTTAAGTTAGAAAGAAGAAGGGACAATGTCTTGTTTTTTTTCTTTTCTATAAAAAACTACAAGCTTAAGCAGAACTTCAGCAGAGTTCTAACTATTGAAAATATGTACCATGGATATAAGATTAGGAAGGTGGGACATAGTTCCTCCTTCAAAATCAGTGTTATCAAGGAAAAACACAAGAATAGACACAGGATACCCAGATGACAGTAAGTGCCACAAAAACTAAATTGGCTTACATAATGTTCTGTACTATCTTTGTGAGGCAAACACATATTCATGCCTAATCATGCATTTCAGCACATAGATTTTAAATTATTCATTATTTTTTTCAAATTAGAATATGTGAAAGATTGAAATGAAGCAAATTATTAAGGATAGTATCAATATACTCTACACACAGTCTCCAAGGACTCTCACACTATTTAAAGATGGCAAGCATGAATCAGCAGACTGTACAACCCTATGTTACCAGACTTATTTAATAACCTCAGATCAATAAAAGCACACAGATGTTAAAACTCCAATGGAAACAGTCAATTTAAACACTCTATATCCTTTAGCCTATTTTTCCTAATAGCCTTCATAGGCAGATCATTTTAACTGTAGTAGCAAGCATCAATTCTCCATCTTATCACCAAATTGCCCTTCCTAAGAAACAATAGCTTCAAAAGAAATTGAATCAAATATTTCAATTGGATGACATAGATCACTTGTTCAGAAATACGCTGAAAATCATGTATTCTACCTTCCTCTTCCTCAGACTGTTTCTAATAGGGTATATACGTGCCTATAAATGATTTAAATGCACTATTAAAGTTAGGCAGCTAAGTAAAATAAAGCTATTCCTCTCTTACAATATCCTTTAGGTGGGAATAAACAGGTATTCAATCTTTATTTCCTTTAAATATAAAATATTTTTACATAACAGCATTTAAAGGAATTCGGTCTCATATTACCTGAAATGTATAATGAACAGAATAGCTACATCAACTCCTAACTATTAAGTGCATAGGGTGTTCATTTTAAGTAGCTTAAGAAAAAATATAGAAAATAATTGGCTTAACAAAAATGATTTAAACACTTTGTGTTAAAATTATATCATCATGTATTGAGATTTCTAAAACAGACACATTTCTAGAAAGAAGAACTAAACTTCATGCATCCAAAAACTTAATGCTAAATATTAGTGGTTCGTTTTTTTTTTTTAATCACCTGAGGATATATTTTCACTAACTTAACACAGGAGGGGAGAGAAAGAGAGAAATGTTGATGGGTTGCCTCTCACATGCACGCTGACTGGGGATCGAACCTGCAACTGAGGGGCATGTGCCCTGACGAGGAATTGAACCTGTCATCCCCTGGTGCATGGGGACAAAGCTCCAAAAAACTTAGCCACACTAGCCGAGATTGGTGGTTCATTTTTGCATATATATGGGCTCTGTGTTTACAGCTGCCAATTTATTGCCAATCTTTAGAATTTAGATGAAGTTTGTTTTAAATAAAATAGCATCATTATTTGATTGTACCATGATTTCTAAAAAGAAAATTTTAATTGTGCTTTTCCTTGATAACATCAATGTGGCATTTGCTGTTTTCTCCAAAATAATTTTGATAATTCTCATTAACTTATGGTGAGAGATCTCATTATTGTTTCTTTCTTGGTTATACTATCCTGAATTATATTCAGTTCATATTCATGTGTCAAAAGGATGTTGTTTTAAATTGAAAATTCCTCAAAAATTTTCTAAGAGAACATGTCTTTCCTGAAGTAGACATTTATTAATTCTTTGTGATTACAAGAATCTGTCTAGATCACCAATTAATTCTGAAGTTATGTTCTATTCACTTTAAAAAATTCAGAAAAAAAGATAAAGACCAGATATATATATCACATAATATTTTCAATTAAAAATTATTTAAAATTAATATTTGAATGCTTTAGGTGTAATCAGACATATGTTTACACATAGATTTACTGACGTTATTGTTTTGAATATTTTAAGTATTTATATTCATGACCAGTTTTTTAAGGAAATCATAATGTAGAATGAAAATGTGATATTTTTTTCTAACTAGTCCAAAAGGAAAATGGAATAAACCAGAATCTTATATTGTCTTTTAATTCAAAAAATATCCCCTTTGAAATTTGACTTTCATTACTTTTAGCTTTTTTCAATACAAAAGAGTAAATAGTCAATACTCTTTGGTGAGTGGTTGGATAGTATTGGCAAATATATGAATATGAAATATATTTCGGCTTTATTTGTGATCTTCCCACTTTGCACTGAAATAGAATGTACAGATATTGCTTTTTTATAAATAAGTGAAAAAAATCCCAATTTCAACTGCTTCTATAAGATATAAACTTCCTGTAAATTATCCTTGAGTATCAATGATCATGGTAATACTTATTATAAATATTGGATAAAATTCAATATATATGTACATTCATACCATCCTATCTAATATAGAGGGAATATGCTAATTGACCATCACACTCTCATAAATGGCAGTGCCCACAGCCAATAAAAAGAGAATATGCTAATTGACTGCCATGCCCTGAGAGGATGGCAGCGCCCACAGCCACAAGATGGTGACGCCCAGTCTCCACAGCCCTGCCTCATCCAGCCGGAGTCCCCCAGTCCCCTCTGCCCCACAGGGGAAGGCAGTTGGGGACGATCATGCTGGCAGGGGAGCAGTTAGGGGGCTATCAGGCTGGCAGACAGAGTGGTTAGCGGCAACCAGGCAGGCAGGCAGGCGAGCAGTTAGGAGCCAGCAGTCCCGGCTTATGAGTCGGACATCCCCTGAGGGGTCCCAGATTGGAGAGGGTGCAGGCTGAGCTGACGGACACCACCCCCACCCCCCGCCCCCCCATGCACAATTTTTGTGCACAGGGCCTCTAGTAGTAGATAAGATGATAAATGCTGACAAAATATTTCTCAGCTTTAAATGCTGGCTTCCCTGTTTAGCTGTGTGACCCAAGACAAGTTGCCTGACTTTTTTGTGTCTTTGATTTCTTATCAATAAAATTGGAATATTAAATGGGCTTGCCTCATAGGAATATTGTAAAAATCAAATGAACTAATCTATGTTAAGTATCTAGAACACTTCCTGGCACCTGGCATGTTGAAATCACTCAATAGAGATTCACTCTTTTTATGTCCCTATGGCATAGACCATTTATATATTACTAGAGGCCTGGTGCACAAAATTCGTGCACTCAGGGGAAGGGGCATCCCTCAGCCCGGCCTGCGCCCTCTTGCAGTCCAGGAGCCCTTGGGCAATGTCTGACTGATGGCTTAGCACTGCTATGGAGGCGGGAGAGGCTTCCGCCACCACCGCTGCGCTTGCCAGCCGTGAGCCTGGCTTCTGGGAGTGCACTGACCACCAGGGGGCAGCTCCTGCATTGAGCGTCTACCCCCTGGTGGTCAGTGCATGTCATAGCGATCAGTTGTTCCGCCATTTGGTCGATTTGCATATTAGCCTTTTATTATATAGGATTTGACTAAATTATTGCTTCATATTTGGTGATTGGTAGTAATGCCTTTTTGCATTTTCATATTTCAATGCCATTTGTATTTGAACAAATTGGAAGATGTTTTTTGAGCAGTGTCCTCTGAGTTCATTCTGCTTTACTTGGCACAGCTGTTATCATTTACATATTAAATCCACCTCAGCTCATTTCTTACCAATTTATTTATACTGGCTTTATTATCATTACAAAAGCAAATACTGATACTAAAATCTTATGACAGTAACATGCTAAGAAATTTGCTATACACATAATTTATATTTATATTCTTTAGGATGTTCTCCAAATAAAACACAACACTACAGTAAAATCCCAGAGAATATTCTCTCTGGCTTAAGACAATGTTTCAGAAAATTAAGGTTTAAAAAATGTTCCTGGGGAAGCTTCTGCTTTGAAATTTTTCTACAAGGTCCCTAAATTGGCCTTACTTTGTTTATACTCTAACCTGTTTGGATTATGACCCATTAGCTTGTGAATCCTACACTTCAGAAAAAGCTAACTGTTGGCACACAACTGATACAACAGCTTTGCAACTAATAACTCAAGAAAAATAATCTTTTTGATACTAGGTATATTATGTTGAGTACATTGATAATACACTCACCTTATATAAGAATCTCTATAATTTTCATAATTACTACTGCAGTGATTTAGACATGTGATTTAGTGATTTCATGCATGTCTCATATATGGCCTAGGATTTAAATATCTTAAATAAATTATAATAAGAATGAAAGGAAAAAAACTACCTAAAATAACATAAATAAGATAAAACATAAAAATAATCATTTAAAAATTTCTTACAAAAGTATATTTACTTAATGAGATGTGATTATATACACTACTTTTTTTTACTTTATTTTTACTGTTGTCACTATTACAGATGTCCTCATCCCACCCTCTTTGCCCGCCTTCACCCAGCCCTCACCCCCTCTTCCCTCTGGCCATTGCCACACTGTTCTTTGTGTCTGTGGGGTTATACATATATGGTCATTGACTAATCCCTTCACCTTCTTTCATCCTGTACCCCTCCCCTCTGATAATTGTCAGTCTGTTCAATGTATCCATGCTTCTGGTTCTATTTTGTTCAGCAGTTTATTTTCTTCATGAGATTCCACATAATGAGATCATTATTAGTGAGATCATATGGCATTTGTCTTTCTCTGACTTAGCCTAATAATCTCCAGGTCCATCCATGCTGTAGCAAAGGGTAAGACTTCCCTCTTTTTTATGGCTGCTAGTATTCCATTATGTAAATGTACCACAGCTTTTTTAGGCACTACTTTTTAATGAGATGCTTTCTGTAACCATTATATAAATGGTGTTCACTTCTCTAAGAAAAGCAGGATGGGACATCTTTAGATATGATAAAACTTTAAGAGCTGGGGAAGATACAGCTTCATTACTTTTACTCTTTATAATACGGAAATCCTATATAAATTTATAACTTTATCCTCTAATTACCTTGGAATGAAATGCCAGAAGGTTATGTAGGTAATAAGCTATTGCATATTAAGGTGGAATCTACTCCTTATATTGTGCTTGCTATCTCACCATAGTTCCCTTAGCCATTTTCTGCCTTTTAGTCAATATTACATACATAGAATAATCCCTTCATTCTTAAATAGAGTACTCTCAAAATGTCTGTCTTTTGTGCAAATGATATGTATTATTTTATCTTTTAGAATTAAAAAAAGAAAATTAATCTAAATATTAGTGTCCTTTATGTGTTCTTACTTTTTCCTCACATTACTATACCATATAGAGTAATCTTCAAAAATCCCCAGTTCAAACCTTTAAATTAAAATTCTCTAGGTCTTAAGAATCTTTCCAATGACATTCATAGCTTTCCTTTTTTTCTTCTTCTTCTTCTATCTATGCAATCAGTGGTTCTCTCAAACTTCAGCTGTCTCAGAATCACCTATATGTTATACAAAGCACAAATGGCTAGGATCCCTTTCAGAAGTTTTGATTCAGTAGATCTAGGATAAGGCCTCATGATTTACATTTCTAACATTGTTCCCAGATAATACCTATGGTCTGGGGACCACCCTTTGGGAACCACTTTTATAAAATCTTCCAGGTGACATACTTAGCACTCCTTTGGTCCTAATCTACTTCAACAAAATTTTAATATCTACTTGTGCACATAAATTATATACTTACTATATTTTTAGTGTTGTAATTGCAGGGCCAACATTATAAATATCTCTCTACCGAGAGCACCATACACAAATTAGGTAAGTAGTAAATAATTGCTACTCCTACTAGTGGTGGTAATTATTGAGTTATTTTAAAATATTTTGTAGGCAAATATAAATCCTCTAGCATTTTTAGCTTATTAATGTCTTAAATTATTTTTCAAATGACTATTAAAAATATTCCTAGAACATTTTATTCATTTCTAAAACCAATGAGACTTTCATGAGAAATTAATCATGTTTCTTATTTTTTTCTGCTTTATAATGTAAATCGATGCTTTTAATGGCTCTTTGATGTGCACACTGTACAGTGTTCTAATATCTGTGAAGTTCTGTGAGGCCTTTTAGCTCTTTAGACATCATAGCTTTCTCTTTGAAGCAAGGGATAATGAAAACAGGTAGAAAACTTTACTTTTTTTTTCTTTTTAGTTTACATTAATTTTCTGAAGCCATTGGTTTAAGGAAACAAAAATTTAAAAATTGACTCATTTCTTATAAAGTTCTTTATAGTACTTGAAACTCAGTTAATAAAAGAATAGAAAATTTAACTGTCTTAAAGTAATGTAGTCTATCAGCTGAGATAAAAAGAAGGGGACAGAAACATCATCTCCCTTTTATCATTGACTCAATGTATGAACTTAGAGAAGTTCATTAATTCTTTAGGTGTCCAGCTTCATTTTCAAAATTGGAAGGAGGGTAGATTTCATACTAAGTTGATAGCACTAATTAAATCTCAAGGTCTTATAGAAAACAGTTAAAATTAGCTTCATATTTTATAAGATTAATCCCCAAATAATGATATTTTTCTTATATAAATACAGTTAGAATGTGGGAAATTATATTTAAAAAATGGAAAATGCAAATTTGGATTCTACTGCAAATTTGTCAGTTACTTAAAGGAAGTAAATGAAGCGGAAGCCTGTAAAAATGCAACTAGTTAATTAATGCCATATGCTGTAATTATAAATTCAAAATATGTTTAGTTGCAGCTATTACTATTTACTGCGTCCACTTACATAAACCCTATGACAATTTGGCATGATCAACCTATCTTTTTTTTTTGGGGGGGGGGTATTCACAGTAAGAATCTCTGACCATGTCATTCATTTGTATTTTAATGTACTAGTAAATAATAAAATTAAAATATTTGTGATTTGTGGTAAAATCTTAAGATTCCTTCCCCTTTCCCAAGATTCATAATTCCTGGTTATTCAATCAAACACTATTCTAGGGTCTGCTACATAGTATCTTTGCAGATGGATTTATATTTACTATTCAGATGACCTAAAAAAAGGAGATGATGCTGGATTATTCAGGTGTGCTAAATGTAATCATAGGAACACGTAAAAGTAGAAGAGGAATCCAGAACCACTAGAGAGAGGCAAAGACAGAACAATGGAGAAGAAATATAGGTGGAAGAGCCGATCAGAAATATTCAAAGCATGAGAGGGAGTTACCCAGTCATAGTTGTCATTGAAGGGGCCGTGAGTCATGAAATGCAGGTGGCCCTTGAAGGTGAATGATTCTAACCAGTGGTCATTAAGCAATAAGCAAAGGGGAATTCCAGTCCTACAATTGCAATAGAGATAGTAGTGCCAACACCCAAGTGAACCTGGAACTAGATTCATCCTCAGAACCTCCAGCCCTACTGAGATCTGATTTTGGCCTCATGAAAGACAGAGTAGAGTACTGCTCGAGCCATATTGCGCCTGGGTTTTGACTTATAAGAATGTGAGATAATGACAGAATATCTTAAGCTGCTATATTTTCCGTAATTTGTTATGGAAAGAATAAAAAAAAACTAATACAGCATCCTATTGACTAAGGTTTGTACTCAAGGTCTTCTTTGGGAAATACTGCAATATATATGCACCATATATCTATTTTTTTATATGTTTCTAATTAGTTACTTTTATTCAGATAGTTAAATAAGTAGTGACAATAAATATTAAAGTTATTGTAATTTTGCTCTGCAAAATGTCCGTCTGTGTCTCCTACTTCTGGTAAGAAGAAGAAAAAGAAAGCAATTACTATTGATATAAAACACAAGATAATTGCCCAACTAGAATCTACTGTAAGTTTTCTGAGCATGTTTAAGGTAGGCTAGGATAAGTTATGATGTTCAGTAGTTAGGCATATTAAATGCAGTTTGACTTATGATATTTTCAATATGATGAGTTCATTGAGACATAACCCCACAAACTACTAGAGCAGTGGTTCTCAACCTTGGCTGCACATTAGAATCACTGGGAATCTTTTTAAACTCATGATTTCTGGGCCTCATCCTCCGGAAATTCTGTTTCTTTGTTACTAATGTTGTGGCCCCACCCCATAACAAAGAAACAGAATTTCCGGGGGATGAGGCCCAGAAATCAGGATTTTAAAAAGATTCCCAGGTGATTCTAATGTGCAGCCAAGGTTGAGAACCACTGTACTAGAGCAGGAATTGCCAAGAACACCAGTGCAGGAGTAGGAAAACCTGTATTGTATTATACTAATTGCTGGAGGCTAGATGAAGACAAGACTAAGTGTTAAAAACTCCAGAGTGACCCGGTCATTAAGGGCTCCCATAATGTGAGATTTACATTGAGGGACTCAACCACATTCCCACAGTAAACATCAAAGAAAAATTCATTCATGCAAGGAGAAGGATAAAAGGACCATTTTGAAATATACCAGAGGCACTCCGTACTTAACAAGTTAACCAGAGCCTAACCTACTACAATATTATCAGATCGTAACTGACTTAGGGGTTAGGAAAAACACTTGTGAAGTTCACAGGTCAGAGGCATAAACCACCAAAATACTGAGATCTAATTGTAAGACTCTGGAATAGTTCCCTTTCCCACACACCTCATCACCACATTAATAAATGCCTATTTATATCAGTTCCTTTAACTTTTCACCTCATGTCTGCTATCAAGAGAAAATTATAAGCTATATCAAAAGGCAAACACACACACACTTAGGAGAAAGAGAAAGCATCAGAACCAAATATGGTAGACTGGGAATTTAAACTAATATGATTAATATGCTAAGAGCTTTAATGGATGAAGTATAAAGCTTGCAAGAATAGATGGGTAATGCAAGCAGATAAATGGAAATCCTAATAGAATCTCCTCACTATAATCCTAGAAATCAAAAACATTGTAACAGAAATGAGGAATGCTTTTGTTGGGCTGAGTATTAGTTTGGACAGAGCTGAGGTAAGAATATCAGAGCTAGAAAATATTTCAAAAGAATTTTGAATACCAAAAGCAAAGAGAAGAAAAACTAAAAAATAAAACAAACACAATATCCAAGGATTGTAGGACAACTACAAAAGGTGAAAGATTCACATAATTGGAATATTAGAAGGAGAAATATTTGAAAAAAACCACAATGACTAAGTACTTTCACCAAGTTAATGTCTGACATGAAACCACAGATCATAGATCAAGTAATCTTAGAGAACACCAAGCAAGATACTGAAAAACAAAAAGGAAAACCTATACCTAGGCATTTTACTTGCAGTTTTAGGAAAATCAATACAAAAAGACAGCATCCTGAAAGAAGCCAGAAGTAAAAAACAATGTATCTTTAGAGGAAAAAAGGTAAAAATTAAATGTGAATTCTCTTTAGAAGCCATGCAAGCAAAATGAGAGTGGAATTAAATATTTAAATGGTTGAGAGGGAAAAAAAATCCACCAACCTAGGTATTCTGTACCCTGTGGAATTATCCTTCAAAAATAAAGTTATTTCTCTGACAATCAGAGATTAAGAGTATTTGTTACCCATAGCCGAATCTTGAAATATATGTCAAAATAAGGTGTTTTTTTAGAGAGAAAGTAATATAGGTCAGAAACTTGGATTTTTATAAAGTAAGAAAAATCATCAAAAAAGGAATAAGTAAAAGTAAAATATAAAATTTATTTTTTTTAAAATATACTTTATTGATTTTCCACAGAGAGGAAGGGAGAGGGATAGAGAGTCAGAAACATCGATGAGAGAGAAGCATCGATCAGCTGCCTCCTGCACACCCCCCAACTGGGGATGTGCCCGTAACCAAGGTACATGCCCCCAACC